AATGAGGATGTATGGGAGAGTACTGAGGAGTATACGTGGATTCTACCAAGCGATGAAGACATACAAACTCCCCACAAGTCAGTTGCGAAAATAATAAATCGACTCGGTGGAAAAGAATGCGTCAGAAGGCAAAACAGGGTGAAAGGGGAAGTGGCAATGATGGTTCACTCGCTTGGCTTTCCCGACAAAGACGGAAACCTCACCCACAGAACCAGACTTATTCTTTATCCGATTATTTCAGATAAAGGCGGAGAAGATGATGAAAATATCCTTAAATCGATTAGATCTGTGAGAGAAATAATGCTCAGGCAAGGAAAGAAAAAACTCGCCATACCGGAAATAGAAGGGATAACTGGTATCATCGTATGTAGAGCCTTGGAATTTATATTCGCTGACACGGATATAGAGATAGCGCTGATGAAAGTGATCCCGCCTACGCAGAAAACGCAGATGACTACCCAAGCGAAAACAATTCGCAAATCTGTCACCCTGAATAAGCCGAAGAGAGATGCACTGCTCATCAAGATGCCAAACGCCAGCTATGCTGACCTCCTGAAAAAGGTGAAAGGGACCGTGAACCCGAGTGATATCGGAGTAGAGATCCGTGAGTTGAGGAAAACCAGGAATGGAGAACTTCTCCTCACAGTAAATGATGGAACAGGAAAGCTAGAAGCACTGAAAGGAATGATCCAGGAGAAAGTACCAGATGTGTCAACCTCTCTCCTTATCAATAGAAAGATTCTCCACATCAAGGACATGGATGTGGTGACGACCGCAGAAGATATAAAAGATGCCATAGCAAAGTCTATAGAAATCAAATCTGAAGAGATAGAAGTAAGAGGTCTCAGACCAACTTTAGCAAATAAGCAGAATGCCACAGTAGTACTGCACGAAGCCGACGCAGTGAAACTGATAGGAATGGGCAGATTGAAGATCGGCTGGACACAATGTAGGGTCATGGAAAGGATGAAGGACCAAAAATGCTTCAAGTGCTGGGAAGTAGGGCATATCAAGTCACAATGCGAAGGACCAGATCGAGAGTTTCTCTGCCTCAAGTGTGCCCAGCCAGGGCACCGGGCTATGGAGTGTGCTAATAATCCCTACTGTGTTCATTGTAGAGAGGAAGGGCACCAATCTGGTAGCACGAGATGTCAGGTGGGCAACAACAGAAAGAAGGGGAAAAACCACCAACAGACCGAGATATACAATCCAGACCATGGTCAAGTGTCTTCAAATCAACACATTTAGGAGAAGACCATGCCATGACTTGGCACTTGCTACGGCTAAGAGCATAGGAGCCGGAATCATCCTCATGAGCGAACCAAACCGGAACGCTATAAGAAAAAGAAAAGACTGGTTTTGTGATGATAATCTGAACACAGCAATAAAAGTTATCGACAAGACTCCAATAGTGAAATACGGGAAAGGCAACAGTTTCTCGTATATAACAACTCCTGAATTCACTATTTATAGCTGTTATGCATCACCAAATGAAGGGGTGGATGATCTCGAAGAAATTCTATGGGAAATCGGCAGAAGGATAAGGTTGAATAAAGAGAGGGCCATTGTCACAGGGGACTTCAATGCAAAATCTCCACAATGGGGTAATGATACAACGGACAGGAGAGGTCAAGTTATGACAGAATGGATGGCAGAGAACGACCTTATCGTGGTGAACGAAGGAAACAAGCCGACTTTCCAGAGACACGATTATTCATCAATTCTGGATCTAACACTAGCTACTGTCGATGTGAAAACAGATATAACGAACTGGCATGTCAGTGACGTTGAGTCATTGAGTGACCACAACTTCATCATTTTCGAGATCACCAATGGAAAGCATCAACAAAGCCAGGAAAAGACAGGGGTAGGTGGATGGTCTGTCAAAAAACTTGACAGGGAGAAATTAAACCAGATCACAATAGCAAGTTCGGACGAAATAGTGAGCACGACTGCAGAAAGCTTCACGAACTCTCTGAGCGAAATATGTGACCAAACGATGCCAAAGAAAAGAAGTACATCAAAGAGACAGCCAGTTTATTGGTGGAACAATAATATTTGTGAGGCTCGAAAGGAATGCATGCGCAAGAGGAGATTGTATACGAGATCTAGAAGAAGAAATCAATTAGAAGAGTCAGCGGCTGTGGGAAGAGTACAAAGAGTCCAAAAAATTACTTCAAAATCTCATCCAAAAATCTAAGAAGGACTCATGGAGTAAAATATGTGATAATGTAGACTGTGATATCTGGGGAGATGGCTATAAGATTGTCATGAAGAGTCTTATTGGCTATCCACCCAGACTAGAAATGTCAATGCAAAAAGTGGAAGAGGTGGTCGACCACCTCTTTCCCGTGCATCCCAACGTGATATTTGACTGTGATGAAACTGTGATATTTTTGAATTTTAGTGTAGATGAACTGTTTGTGGCGTGTAAGAAGTTGAAGGAAAACAAATCTCCTGGTCCTGGATTTATCCCACCTGAGATAATAAAGAGCGTGGCCTTGAAAAACCCAGAGTACACCCTCGCTGTGTATAATGGCTTGGCCAGTCGCGCTGAATTCCCCAAAAAATGGAAACAGGCAAAGTTGCTCCTGCTCAAGAAACCGGACAAACCCATTGAGAATCTGTCGTCACACAGACCCATATGCCTATTGGACGTTGAAGGAAAGTTATATGAGCAACTGATCCTCATCAGGCTGAAAGCAGAAGTAGCACGTACTGGTGGACTCTCAACAAGGCAGTATGGTTTTGTTGAAGGAAAACAGACAGTGGATGCTATAGAGGAAGTAACAAAAATTGCCAGGGAAGTACAAGAAAGACACTCCTGGGCGCATCGAAGACTCTGTGCAATCATTACCCTCGATATCAGAAATGCCTTCAATAGCGCTAGTTGGCAGAAAATACTTGATGAGCTGAGAAGTCGAGAAATAGATGAAAGCCTCATTGGTGTGATCAAGTCCTATTTGTCAGAGCGAGAAATCATCCTGGAAGCAGAAAACAGAGTGAAAACCAGGAAAATAAATAGCGGTGTGCCTCAGGGTTCCGTTCTGGGCCCAACGCTATGGAATATTCTGTATGATGGGCTGTTGAGGATGAAACAACCGGCAGGTGTTACACTAATAGGTTTTGCTGACGACATTGCCATGGTCGTGGTAGCAAAGGGAGAGGAGAGTCTGATGTGTACGGCGAATACCGCAATGCAGCGAGTATCCAACTGGTTGGAACACAAAGGGCTTGATCTTGCACCCGAGAAAACGGAAGCTGCTCTCCTCACCACGAAGAGGAAACTAGGTCCAATCCAATTCGATGTACAAGGCGTCTCAATAAGTCCCAAGAAGTCTATCAAATACTTAGGAGTGTGGTTAGACACGAAGTTGACTTTTGCAGAACATGTTGACCAAGTGACCAAAAAAGTGGAAAAGACAGTAGGAGCTTTGTCCAGGATCATGCCGAATCTAAGAGGACCCAGAGCATCTAAGAGGAGGTTACTATCGAGCGTTGCACACTCCCAGATCCTGTATGCAGCGCCAGCCTGGCATACAGTAACGAATAACAAGAAACTGGTTTCCAAGCTATTGAGTATCCAACGGAAAATGTGCATAAGAATATGTGCCGCATATAGGACGATATCGATAGATGCAGCAGGGGTGATAGCCGGGGTTCCACCCATTGATCTTCTGATTGAAGAAAGGAGAGACAAGTATAAAGGCACGGCAGGAGTCAATGCAAGAAGGAATCTAACAACGAAATGGCAAAGGAAATGGGACACTGGTGAACATGGAAGATGGACATATAGACTTATACCCAACATAGAAAAGTGGATTGAGAGACCCTATGGGGAAGTCGATTATTTCCTGACCCAAGCATTATCAGGTCATGGTTGCTTCCGGAAATATCTATACAACCGTTCGAGAGCAGAGTCAGATGAATGTCCCTACTGCGGCAGAGAAGATGATGCCGATCACACGCTGTTTTTCTGTGGCAGATGGGAAACGAGTCGCCAGGAATACCAGGTGGAAATTGGAGAACAATTTGATGCGAGAACCATGATGCATTCTCTGACCTCAGGTGAAGGAACATGGAAGACAGCATATGAAGTGATCAGGCTGTGACCTTTATTTTATAAGAAAAATAAATGCACTTGCAAACGGCAGCTTTTCACCGGTAGGCACTATGGGTTCTATTCAAAAGCAAGTAAAATTCATACTACACAATATTCATTTAGATTAGTACAGTAAACAAAAAAGAGAGGGCGCCACAGCAACTTTTAAGTATGAGATGAAATTATTATATGGATAGTTGTGCAACCACATAACACTCAAAGATGTTAGTCCAGCTAAAATAAATACACTGTAGGATGTTATAAAGAGGAGAGTAGTTGACCCAAATTCAATAAATAAATAAAAATCAGTCATAAAAACAAATAGGTTTATTACTCATGGTGGTGCAGGGGATGAAAATACACTCAGTGTAATGCAAGTAAAATAAGTCACAGAATATTAGATCCATATGCAGTCATAATAAATAAAATAAATAAATCATTACTTTCATGATACCATACCTTCAATATCACCTTTATATAAGAGAGAAAATCAGTGAACCTATCAGGGGTAATTAATTCAGTTATTGCTGAAATATCCGCCACCGCATAGTACTATGTGTTGGGGTACCTGTGAGCTAAATATTACCTCATTTAGGGCGCTTGAAATAGTATTCATGAATGTATTGAAGGTAATTATATCAATGATGAAAAAAATTAAAAAATTAAATAATCTGGCCTGCACTTGGAGATCTTCAATCAGCAACCATTAGCTGCATCACCATGAGGAAGAATCCTGATGCTGGTCTCTGTCTAAGCTGACAGACGAGCTTCTGAAGCCAGATGTAACTTAGACTCGCCAGAGTCTAGGGCTGGTAGGATGAGTGAAGACTCTGCGGAGTCTTGAACCTTGAGAACGAAGAAAGACTCTGAGGAGTCCTGGACTTGGAGAGCAAACGACATGGAGGAAGACGACATGGAGGAAGATGGCATGGAGCAAAACGGCATCGAACAGGACTGCATTGAGGAAAACGGCATAAGTCGGCATAAACGGTCAGCTTCAAAGTCCAGGGAGATCATAGCAGGGTGCACAGCAAAATCGATGCGAAGAGGAGCCACCAAGAGGCCCACCGTAGACGACATGACGATCTTTAAATGGCTGGATCAGATCCAGACTCCAGGAGGTAGAATAACCCCTCGGAGAACCCTATAATAATTTTTTATGTTGAATTCCTATTCAAGCTTCTCACGGGCAGGACAAAAGAAAAGGACTCACCTTGTGTAACAAGGGTTTCGAAAATCAAACGGCGTCTCGCAGTGTCTGACGGCGTGTCCACGGCGTCCAGCAGTGTCCAACGGCGTGTTCAAAAATTGTGGGTCTCACAATAAAAATCCCAATTTGCCAGGAGCACCAACGTCGATCTTGGTAAATTATTCACGGTGAAAGATGGAAATCTCTAAAGATTCCGGCACAAAATTTGGATAAAAAAATCCAGCGGAACACCTTCACCAACTGACTTCAACCAGATCTCACCAAGAAGTGATGGTCCAGGAAATGGGTACTATGTCCATCAACTTTGACATCCGGAAGTACGAACTTTGACATGAAGTCGACATCCTTGACCTTGATATTTTCGAAACAACCAATCAGGATGGATCCTTATTCTAATCTCCTACCAAATATGACATCTCGGAGAAACACGGCTTTTAAATACATCTGGCAACGTGGATGTTGTCCGACGTATACTCGAGGCTGCTCTCTCTTTATTCTTTGTCTGTGACCATTGAGTCCGATGTCGCTTGACACATGACAATTGGAGAATTTACTATTTACAACAAGACAATTGACTGAACTGACTTGGCATGTTATGTCAAAAGTCAGATTACATAACCGAAAAATAATAAGATTATAATTTCTATTTATTTACAAAAAATATCACTGTATTTTATCCAGACATTAATTCAAGACTCAAGAAGACATCAGGAAACTACTAAGATGAATAAGGTAATATATTTGGCATAACCCATATTCAGATGGTAAACAACAGATGTTTATTTTCTTTCAGACAAAATCTCATGATATGATATTCTACAAGAGAATATTTCTAATTGAAATCCAATTGGAACATCATGTGCTGCCTCTCTATTAATTAACTAGCCAGGAAGAAAAGTGGATAATCTGGTGAGTATAAACTAGAAATGATTTCAAGTTATCATAATGAATTATTCTTTTATTTTTAGGTAAATGAAAGAGACAACTATTGATGAACTCAGGTGCGAATATCTGTTTGAAATACTGAAACTAAGGTGTACCAAAGATTTGTGACTGATGGCCTTATATGAATGAATAAATGACAAAAATATTTGAGATTGTGTTATTTATAAAGGATAGTATGGGTAACTACATCCTTTTATATACTTTAAGATTTTTGTTGTGTCATTATATTGGAGTAAAGATGAACTTTGGATATTATACAGGGTGTATCCGTATTATTAATTATAAAAAAGTAAAAAGGTAAGGTACTGAAATTTTAAATGCTACATCACCCCTCTCCCAAAAAAAAATGGATCTGCCAAGATCTATTTTATAAAACAAAAAATCTCTAATTTAGAATCACCAAAAGTATATCCCATTTTCTTGTTCAGCTCTAATTTAGGGGTAGTAACTATGCGTACCATACATCCATTTGGAACTCATAATCGGGAAGTCAAAATTGGGTAAAGTCATACATCAGGAAAAGTCAAAATTGATAAGTCTCTCTAAATATCTGAACTAGAAGATGCGCTATACATATGAGAACATTCTCAAAATAACTGATTAAAATATTTACACTTGGGACTCTGTTTGAAATCCTGGTCACTCGTCAGTGAACAGAAAATCAAAATGATATGAGCAATACTAATTGCTACATAAATACCAAGGGCAAATACTGAAATATGCCTAGTATTTAATGAAGGGGTTACTAAATTTTGAAAGCTTTCAAATTTCAACAGGAATTTCAATCAAGTTGAAAACAGGGTAATTTTCAAGGGCACAAAATTGTCTTTGGGGATTGATATCAACCTATTATTCCTGAAATTATAAATTGCAGGCAAGTATATACTTTCTACCAGTTTCAAAAACATTGAATCTGTGTACTCTCACAGGATTCAATCAAACAAAAATTATCCAACCGAAATATCGGAATTGGATCCAAAATAAGGCTTAAGATCCTTAATATGCCAGTCTCCTGCTGGACTTCCATTAATATTCTCTAGAGAATATACTAAACGAGAAACTCGATTTCTCACTATACTCAAAATATATTTGGGGGCTAGTTTTGCGCTAAATTTTGCTGCTGCTTCAGAAAGAATTTTATTTCTGCGCCAAACCTTGTCACCATTATTAAATGAAATATCTCTTTTTCTTAAATTGTATGCTTGTGAATTTCTCTGATAGGCTTTATGTAATTTATTTTTTACATCTTCAAAAATTGTACTCAAACCTGTAATATTTTCTACATATTCATCCCTGTCCTGAGGGTTTAATTCAAAATCACTTGTGCTAGAATTGTTTCCATAAAAGTTTCCAGACTGAGGAATATTTCGAGCAAATACTAAAAATGCAGGTGAATATTTATGCACTTCATGAACTGACGTATTAATGGCTAACTGTATTTTTGATAATTCTTTATCCCAATCTTTGTGTTCATCTATATAGCTTCGAATAGCTTGACCAATTGTCTTATTATTTCGCTCAACAAAATTACACTGGGCTGCATAACGTGGAGTAAACCAGATTTTTACTTTATAAGAGTCAGTAAGTTTTTTTAATACCTTCCCAGCAAAATAAGTAGCATTATCGGTGATAATGAATTGGGGAACCCCATAAACTAAAAATACTTGGTTTTCCAAAAATTTCACAATACCTGGTGCTTTTGCATCACGAAGTGGGCATAAAAGAGTATACTTTGAGAACCAGTCTGCTACTACTAGTAAGTAAGTGAAGCCTCGTGGTGACCTGGGAAAAGGTCCCATTAGGTCTATTGCAATAGTTTGAAAAGGAAATTTGACCTGCTTCTCACGACCCATCAGGCCCATACGTGAGGTATTAGCTATCTTTTGTGACTGACATATTTTGCAGGAACGAACATACTTTTTAATATCAATTAACATCTTAGGCCAGTAATAGTTCTGTTGAACGCGTAAAAAGGTTTTATAAACACCAAAATGTGAACAAGTAGGTGGATCATGATTGTCTCGGATGACGTCAGATCGCTGAGACTTTGGAACCACTATTTTCCATTCAGATTCGTTAGTTTCAATAGGAATTTTAGATGGAACATATTTCCACAAAAGATTTTCCTCGACTTTCCATTGAGGATATGAATTTGGATCATTGATCACCTTCTCACAAAGTGAATTATACCATTTGTCAGCACTATCAGCTGAAATATTGATCAAATTTATCTCCATCTCTGGAACATCAGGAGGATCTTTTGGAGGAATTCGTGAGAGAAAATCTGGAAGGACGTTTGTTGAACCTTTTCGATACAATAATTCAAAATTATGTTGTCGTAATTTGACAGCCCACCGAGCAAGTCTGCCACACGGGTCCTTTAAATTATTCAACCATAAAAGGCTACTATGATCTGTGAAAACTTTAAATTCGGTACCTTCAATATAAGGACGAAATTTATCTATTAAAAATATTAAACTCAAAAGTTCTCTCTCAGAGACTGTATAATTTCGTTCAGTACGAGATAAAGTGCGTGAAGCATAAGCAATAACTTTTTCGTGACCATCTATTTCTTGTGTCAATACTCCACCAATACCATAATCACTAGCATCGCAAGAAATGATAAACTGTTTGTCAAAATCAGGTGAACATAGGATGGGGGAGGAGACTAGAGCACTTTTGATTTTTATGAAGGCTTCTTCAGCTTCAGCTGACCAAGTGATTGGTTGCCCTTTCTTTTTACCTTTTAAAAGCCCTGATATAGGCGATACTAAGCTAGAATAGCCAAATAAAAATCTGCGGTACCAAGAAACCATCCCAATAAACCTTTTTATCTCAGTAGTAGTGGTTGGACGTGGAAAGTTTGTCATTGCTTCGACTTTATCAGGGTCTGTTCGAAGACCTTGGCTGTCTATAACATAGCCCAAATATTTAAGAGAAGTTTTAAAGAATTCACATTTCTTAGGGTTTATAGTTAAATTGGCATCTTTAAGAATGTTCTTTACTTCTGTTAGAAGAGATAAATGTTCAGAAAAAGTTTTCGAAGTTATAATAATATCATCAAGATATGTGAAAATGTTGGGCTCAAACTTGGCACCAAATAAAGTGTCACAAAGTCTTTGTTGAGTTTGTGCACTATTGCATAGCCCAAACGGCATAACTTTAAATTGAAATGAGCCTCGCCCAGAAACACTAAAAGAAGTTTTTTCTTTTGAAGATTCATCAAGCGGCACTTGCCAAAAAGCTTTTCTAAGATCTATGCTCGAAATATACTTCGCATCTCTAAGTAGATTCAAAATTCTGTCAATTCGAGGAAGAGGATAACTATCATGTTTTGTTATTTCATTCAACTTTCTTCCATCGAAGCAAAAACGGTATTCACCTGATGATTTTTTGACTAAAAGTACAGGACTATTGTATGGACTTTGTGAAGGTTCCACAACTCCAAGTTGAATCATTTCATCCAATTCTTTATTTAAAATGTTAAGCATGTAGGGAGACATTAGATATTGTTTAACCCTAAATGGTTTGGCATCACCAGTATCGATGGTAAGCTTGATTTTATTTGTGAGTCCAAGACGTGAGTCACTACTGATTTCATTAAATGATTCTATAACTTTATGAGCTTGTACTCTTTCATCAGGTAATAACTCTAGACAAGTCGATGATTCTAGATTTTGAGAGCTCTCTAATTCGCAAGATACCACTGATAAAGACTTATTTGTGATTGTACTATGGATGTTCCAACTTTTATTCCTGAAGTCTATTTTAATTTTGAATTGGTTGCAGAAATCACTGCCTAAAATAAAGGAGTGAGGAAGTGAAGGAACCACTACTGTAGGGACAATCTGTATAACATCGTCAACACAAACTGGTAAATCTACCATACCTTGAACTAACTGTTCAGTACCATCAACAGTCGTCACATGTTTCATACTAGAAGTGTTCAATTTCAAATTAAGTTTC